GAAAATGATTTTGTTTAATGATTGTAATTCTGTGCAAATCTGGTTGCCATTTCTCCCACTAAAGGGAAGGACTTTTTTTTTTAAAAAAGAATTGTCCCAAGAGAAAACAAGTATTTGTCCCCTGCTGTAGTGCTTTGTAGACTAATTCAAGAAAAAAATTACTCCTGATCGGTAGAACTCTGGAATCCTGTGGTGTGGGTGTGTGTTTTCTTTCTGTTTCCATAATCTTTGTGGAGCTGTCTTGATTCTTTCCACATTGTGTGAGCAGGCATTAGCACACCTGAAGGAAATACTTAAATTCCATCGCGAAAAGTTTCATATTCAATCCTGACTGAATACTGGGAAGATGTTTTACCTTGACCTCAAGGACATGCCCTGAAGTGCAAGACAAACTGATCACCTGGAAAACAGCTAAACCAGCCCCAATTCTTTAGCTTAAAGGAAAGCACTGAAGTAGATCTCGTTCTTAAGTTCTACTAATCACTGTTTTCCCACATGCTTCTTCTTCTTCTGCCCCTCTATAGATTTTCCTCACCACCAGGATTTAGGCTGGGGCCCTATACTTGCCTCCCTCCAAGTTCCTGAACTAACCATGGAAGAATTCCTGCAGGAGTGTCTGTCTTTAGGAAGCTACTTGACCCTGTATGTCTATCTGCTGCAGTGCCTGAACACTGACCAGACACTTACCAATGAAATGAAAATCCTGCTAACCATCAACAAATGGCTGGAGCAAGTGTACCCCAGGTATGAAACTTAAGGCTTCTGAGTCTGCCTGGACTTTAAATAAGGTTGTAGTTGTCTAGCTGGTATAGTTAGATGGCCAGGTTAGTTACGTTAATTGTGTTAACTTCAGCAGGCTGTCCAGCCTTCTATATTCACTACTACAGAGTCTGCCCAACCCCAGTGCCAACACTAAGAGTTGCTGTTGTGGTTAAACAGAAGAGGGTATTTTATTTACTTGAAAGCTTCTGATAGAATTTTGGCCAGTTTTCAGTCAGACGAGCTTAATTTTAATGCACTTAATTAAAATTAGTTTGAGCAAATCCTGAACCTCTGTGGATTCCATTATCCAGCATGTCCACTAGATGGGATGCGTTATATGCTAAGCACTCAGTTTGACACTGAGAGGCCTGGTGTTCAAAGCTGTTCAAAGGAGACTGTCAGCAGCTCTGAACCAAATCTGAACCCAGTGAACCTGGTGGGGTGACCAGAGTTAGTGGGCTTTTACTGCTGTAAAACAACTAATCAGATAACAGGGTTCTGGTGGTAAAGACTGGTTAACTTTGGGGTTAAAACGGTAGTGTTTTGGGCTTACAGTTTGTAACAAGTGTATTTACAGTTACTGCTAAAATTGGCAGAATTTAGCAAATATGGTGACTATTTTTCCATATTAATGTTGATAATGTTTCTATTTGCTATGAAACATTTTGGGAAAAGGCACATTTCTTGAAAAATCACAAAATAACTTCACTTTTGTAGGTACTTTTGGTACACTTTTGGTACACTTTTGTAGTAATTTGATTGCCAGAGTGTGAAAGAGACAGCAAAGCTGCCGTACACAGTACATTAAAACTTATTCTGAACATCAAAGCTGGGGATGCCTGGGATGGAAGATGACTGGGTGGAGTTATGTGAGCATAGTCTGCTGCAGGAAACTCGTGCTGATGCTTTATGTGGAAAATCTGAGCTTGTTAACTTAAACTGAAAACTGGGGAAAGATTAAAAATATCATAGGGGGAACTTCACTTTTTGCTTTACTCAACAAAAAGCTTCATTGTTTCCTTTTCTAGAAGATCTTATTAAAAGTCTAAATTGTGTGGAAACATCCATGCTTCCCAAGGTGTCTCTTCTAAAGTAAATAAAAAAAATTAGAAATACAGCTTCATTTCTTTTATACCAAGTCTTAGACAACTTTAAATCCACTTATGACTGCAATATAATTTTTTTCAGTTGTTAAGATTGAAAGGAAGTATTTTCTTTGTCCTCTTACAGGCCCTTAAAACCTGCTGACTGATGTCTGCCCAAGTCCACAATAACAGCACTTAAAGCAGCATAACTGCTGGGGTAGTATATTTTTCATGGGCCTAATTGGGAGAGATACAAACTTCTTAGCCTATGCATCTGGCTTCTGTTTAATTTATGTTTTGTTATATTTTGTTCTTTAAATCTTACCTAAAGCTCAGCAAAGGAAGAGGCAAAGCTGTTTCTCTGGTGGCATAAAGCCATGCAGTTATCCTTGATTCAGATGGAGCAAGATGACACCATCCTGATGGAATCTGTTATTCGGACACTGTTGTCAATCCAGGGCAGGCAGAGTCAGCTGGCTGAGGAGAGACTGAATTCTGGAATACTTGGTGCTATTGGGCTGGGCAGGAGGTCTCCTTTGTCACCCAGGTAAGGGTTGAAGGTGTGGTAAATTAATTTGAGTCATCGTGTTAGAACGGCGGCAGCCTGCATCCAGTCTGCACAGTGTAATGTCCAAAGATGTTCTGGGTCCAAGTTGTCCCTAAACCTAGAAAGTTGTTTGGGCTCATCACAGAAAAACTGTAGCAAGTGTTTAAATCTGGTTAAGTAATGAATAATGTGGTGGAAGAGGAAAGAAAATGCATTTGTGATTCTGGTTTGATGTCTGTCTCCGGTGAAGTTTGCAGGGAGACTGTTCATGAGAGGAAAATGCTTTTACCTGGGCTGTTGTAATCTGTTCCTGTTGGCCTGACAAGAATTTTGCATTATCACATGTTTGTTGCCTTGAGGCACCTGAAATGTTAAGAGAAGCTCAAAGAAATACGTGCCTGCTTGGTATTAACTTTCACTTCTAAAGGAGATGCCAAGTTTGGTTCTTAGGTATTAAAATCAAGTTCACTGTGGAAAGAATGCCAAGAAAAAAATACAGAAAAGTTTGTGGAACATGAGTTCAGTACAATACCTAAACGTAACTGTGATAATAAAGACATTCTTGGGATGCAATCCTGTTGAAATTCCTCTGAAACCTTGGTAGTATTCCAACTCATCCATTGATTTGGGTGATAAGGATGTTTCAAAGGCTGAGAAATGAAGAAGTATTTCAGATGTGGCCTCAAGGCCTTCAGTTAAGCTTGGAACAGGTGTAACATTTCATATATATGGTATTAGTCCTCCTGAATGTATGATATAAGTTATATATTAAAGTGATATTTTTTTTTAAATAACACGTCAAAAAAGGTTCGAAAAAGTCTTTGCTGTGTTCCTTACACAAGAGCTATCTCATAACCCCTCATCTCATGAGTTAGAATTTCCAGTTGAGGACTTGCAAAACTGATGCTACCTTCTCTCTCTGTCCTGTTCCCTGTGCAAGGTTTCGGGTGGTTGCCCGCAGTTTGTCTGCCTTCCTCTTGGTGCAGATTCCTGCCGAGAGTCAAGTCCGCCTGAAGGCGGGGTCAGAGCCGAAACTGTCACACAAGGCCCAGCAGGTAGTGTGTGCCAATTCCTGACGTCTGGACATGCCTTCTTTGCATGCTTGTTCACTTTGGGGGCTGAGGCTTGCAGTTGCAAGCGTTGCTTCGAGATAAATCCTGCTCTCAGCTTGGTTTTGGTCAGTGCTGGATGTTCAGTGCTTAATCTTTCTCTTTTTTTTTTTGCTGCTGATTTACACCTAGAATTAAATTAAAAATTTCAGAAATAGCTTGTAGCTCTCATTTGTCTTCTCAGGTAAGGGGTGTGTAACAAAATTGTGTACTGTTTTGTTATACACCAAAGCACCATCTTGCAGCTTGCCAGAGACAAGGGCAGGTGCAGCACACACCAGGTGATAATGCAAGTTTGCTGACGTCTGGTAGCAAGGCTGTGTCTGAGCCCTTAACCTGAAGTAATCCTAGGTAAAACTGTTTATACAGCTTTCTGTACTGATATGAAGACATCAGTCCTAATTTCTGCACTGGAAAGGTGCAGATTAACTTTTGTCTATAAACGCTGGGTTCAGAGCGTAGCAGGTAGGAATTTGTGACAAACAGTGCTGCTGTGGTTGCACTGCTTTTCAGTGATAAAGCAGGACTGCATTCATGCAACATTCTGTTGTGTGATTCTCTAACATCTGTTGATGTTAACATCTGTTGATGTTAAAAGCCCTGTGACAAGTAAGTGTTTCTTCTTTGCTGTGTGCCCTGACCATGTTGTTTCAGTAAGTGCAGGAGAAGAGGAAGGAGGAGTTGATGAGAAACCACAGCAGAATACTTACTTGGCACAATGAATTAAAAATGTTCAGACATACTTCCAGCATTTGCCTTGGCTGGTTCTGCCAGCAGAGTTTCTGTTACATTAAATTTCTAACTTGACATTGTCACTGTAATGTTGTTAATGGCTGCAAAGTAGTGCTTTTATGGAAGTCAAAGGTGGTCCTAAGGAAAGCCTGAAGTGAGTAGTTAGTAGTGAATGTTTCATTTTGTCATTCGGTGTAATTTCCTTTAAGTGATATCTTGAGCTCATGAAGTAAATATTTTATAATGTTTGGGTTACAGAATCCTAGCAAGCCTTGGTAGAACAGCTGTGGGGTTGATCTTGGGAAGAAGCAGCTTGGAAAGTATGAGGTGACTAGAGACACTATTAAGTTACTGTATTTTACAATTTTTTTGTTCCAAATACTTCAAGATCTCTAGTAAGTAAGAATCTTCTGGTGGAATTGTGATTGTGGTGGCTCATGAACTGGTTTGTTACGCACCAAAGTACACACAGCTAACAGAATTTCCCCTTGTATCTATAGGCACTGAATGCTCTTGAATCTATGGCATCAAACAAACAGTATATGGATTATCAAGAGCAGCTCTCCCAGGCATCTCAGTTCATCAAGCATCCAGAACATTGTCTTCGAGATGGCAACAATCTCTTGGCTCTCCTTATTAACACTCTGTACCCAGAAGTGCATTATTTGGACAGCATACGATAGCAGCTCTGAGCTCACAGGATCATCATGCAATGTTGATTACTCTGGTTTACATATAATGTTATTGCACAAGTCATTTTTACCTTCAAAGTTCCACTTTTAAGTCAGAAGTGTGGATAGGAACTGGACACTGGCAAGTTTTCTCGTCTTTAAGGTTTTCTTTTTTTCTTTTTCTTTTGATTTGTAGGCCTGTGGAATTGTTCAGTTTTTTGTTGACTTCAAACACATTAATGTCCTCCTCTGTATTGTGCACAGCAGAGAGGAGGATACCTGGGGATAGATGTACAAATCATTGACATCAAAGCTCATCCTGTAGCATCTTCAGTTTTTGCTTTGTTCCTTGTTTATTTTCCAATATGTCATCATCACTCAGGCCAGTTCAAGGTGAATGGAGGAATGTGTATGAAAGAGGTTTTTACTTTCTTAACCAGGAAACCTCTAAATCTTACATGAGTGTGTGTCTGGATATTTGTGAAATCCCTGTATTTGGAAGGCTAATATTTTAAATTTTGACCTTTTTTGCTCTCCCATAGAAATCTGTAGTTGACAGGCATGCATACAATCCTCTCCCACTTCTGTAAATACAAACTAAAATTTGAACTAAAGAACTTGGTTTTTTCCTATTTTCTAAACATTAGTGAGTCTGCATTCATATTGCTTGATGAAATGCAAGTTACTTCTAGCCAAGTTCTTTTGAGGTCAGATGACTTAAATCCGGAGACGGATTTTCTGGACCCTCAGTGTCTGGGAGGGGAACAGACACTTGTGTTTGTTTTACATAGGATTCCTTTATTCTGAAAGTCTGGTTGTTTAGGAAATACAAGTGGACACTCACCACTTGCGTTTATTCTTTTCTGCATAGCTGGGCATGACATGAAAGGATTTTAGATGACACTGTGAAAAGATATTTTTCGTGTATTAAATTTGGGGATCATTTTGTTAAAATTCTGTTGCCAAAGCATGAGCCTGTAAACCTCTTTGTTTCAGCTGAATGATCACTGGTTTTGTTGCCTTGTCTGATCATACAATGCACCTTTGCTCAGGGGAAGCAGGAAGCAAGTTCCCCTGTTGCTTGTCTAACCTTGTCCCTTTTATCACTGAGTCTATTGGAGGTGGCCCAAGGTCCTGCAGTCCCAATCACTGTGCTGTTGTGAAGGAACAATGATCACTGCTTCTCTTCCTCCATTAATTGTGCCTTTATGTTTAGAACATGGTTACACATTAACACATTAGTTCTGGTCACTAGGAGAAGGAAATGTGTGCTACCTACTGTCTGGTCAATAGTGCTTTGAAGTGTTACTCTGAAATGGGATTCTGGTGCTGGAGAACAAATTGCCTTTTTCTTCTTGACAGATTGTGCTAACTATGCCAGCTGGGTCATTAGATCACCTTCATCTTAATGTGGTCTTAGAGTTCTTTGCTTTATCTGCGAGTCTATAAATATATCTGCATCTGTACATCCCTCTGCATATTAGCCAGACACTCATGCAGCATGTTTTTTAAACAGACCCTTTTGAAAAATCCATGTCTGGAAGAACATACTCTGCTTTTTTTCCTCCAAAGACGTAAAAGCACTGGTTTTATTAGATTCAATGTTATTGATCAGATGCATAAAAATGTGAAAAAGTCAGAAATATGTGGTTTTGACATGCACTTTTAAAATGATATATTGTTTCAGCTGTTGAGTTTTTACAAATGTTGTATTTATAACACGCTATGACTGCAAAGACCATACAGAATAAAAATGAAAAATCAAGTAATTTGTTACAAGTGCTGTGATATTTTCAACTTGCTGGAAGGATCCACATCAGGTAATACATAATTGTTCAAGGAGAGTGAAGTATGATGGGGGAATCAGAATCACAGAATAGTTTGAATTTGAAGGGGCCTTAAAAATCATGAAACTCCCAACCCCCCTGCATGAGGGACACCTCACACTAGACCACGTTGCTCAGGGCCCCATCCAGCCTGGCCTTGAGCACTCCCAGGGATGGGGCAGCCACAGCTTTGCTGGACACCACCCTCACGCTGAAGAATTTTCTTCCTAATGTCTAACCTAAGTCACCTTTCTTCCAGTTTGATCCTCTCACTACAAGCCCTTGTAAAATGTCCCTCCCTGGCTTTCCTGTAGCCTGTTCAGTTACTGGTCTCCTCAGAGCCTTCTCTTCCAGGATTGAACAACCCCAGCTCTCTCCTCCTGCCCTTGCAGGAAAGGTGCTTCATGGCCCTTCTCTGGACTCTCTCCAGGAGCTCCATGTCCTTATGCTGGGGGCTCCAGAACTGGACACAGTATTCCAGGTGGGGTCTCACAAGAGCTGAATAAAAGAGGAGAATCCCCTCCCTGGCCCTGCTGGCCATGCTTCTTCTGATGCAGCCCAGGACATAGTTGGCATTCTGGGCTGCCAGCACACGTGCTTGGTTCTGGCTCCCTGTCCCTCAGGACACAGGTGTAGTGGGCCCCTGGGATGCCCCTCCCTGAGAGGGGACATGGGTCCTGCTTGTTCTCCCTCCAGGGGTCCTGGCTGCTGTGGGTCCCCTGGCCACTGAGGGTGCCTGTCATCCCACTGGGAACTGGGGAGCACTCCCAGTCAGGCAGTGAGGAAGCTGGAGCCATGTCTTGCCTCAGGCCTAGGGAGTTGCTCTGGGCTTTGCAGGACCCTCATGGCCCCCTGACACCCACCTCATTCGCAGTTTGCCACAGAGGAAATTGCCCTATATGGGAGCAGCGGGATGAGGTGTGAAATAAGGTTATAGAATGATAGAATGCCAGGTTGGAAGGGACCTCAAGAGTCATCTGGTCCAACCCTTCTAGATCCTACTATAGTTTATATGGGATGGCTCAGCACCCTGTCGAGCTGAGACTTGCCCAATGTGGCGTTGCTCAGTTGGTGGGAGATGTAAAGATTCTTCTCTTTGACATCCTGCATTTAACATGTATGTGATAAAACAGCCCTTGCTGAGGGCTTTGCAGGTGACCAGGGCCAGACCAGGGTGAGGTCACTGCTGTCAGCAAACACCATTGACACCACCATCATGTCCATCTGTCTTTACCATTGAAACAGCTTCTTTAATAACAGTAGAAAATAATGCAGTAGAAATGATGCTGTTGGCTTTTCCCCCCTCCCCATTTCTCAATCTAACAATTGTGATGAAAACCATTTGTTTCATCATGGTTAAAGTATGTTATTATGGTATCTCCTAAGAAGCTAGGCTACACCAAGTCAGTACCAGAAACCTCCTGGTGTGGGCTCTGCTGTGTTTTGTCCCTCCCGTAGTTACTGGTCTGAGTGGCTGGTTTGAATCCCCCATGAGGACCAGGGTCTGCCAACATGTAAAGCAGCGTAAAACCTACGTGTGTTAGCCTTCTGATCCTGAGCCAACACCTCTCATCCCCTCCTGTCCAGTGCCCTGTGCATCCCCACTTGCTCTCACATGGAGGACAACCCCTTGTCCTTGCTGTCCCAGCTTGCCCTTCCTGAGGGTGTCCATCTGTGACACCGCTCGAGGCTTGTGAGCATCTCCATGACCTCAGTGGGATCGGAGCTTTGCAATTGCACCTCTTCATTCCTCCTGCTTGTTCCCCCACTTGAGAGGCACCTGGTTGTGCTGCCTTCTGAGAAAAGAGATGATAGTTTTCCCCACAATGCTGTCCTGTAGGGCACTTCTTTATTGTGCAGCTACACTGGAGTAGGCTTCTTCCTTGTTGATTACAAGGTTGCTCGTCTGCATGTGACCTCACACCTTGTGCTTTCCAGAGGATGAAACAGCAGGTAGCAAGAGGAGGAGTCTTGCAGGGATGGGTTAAATAGGCCCTTCACTGGGGAGATTCAGGAAAACTAATTTCTGAGGTTTTTCTTAGTGTCCAGGAGTGTGGAGTGTATCCAGGCATCCTTGTGTTCCCATTTGCTGCACTAACAGGGCTGTGCTCTGCAAGCCATGTAAATAATAGTTGGGCAGTGCTAATCCATGGGTCTCCTCACACCTAAATTCCTGCAGCTTTTCTGTAATGAGTGTTTGCTGGCATCAGGGTGCTGATAGCATGAAACAGGGCACACTTAGTGGTTTTGGGGTGCAAGGTGTGAGCCTTTGATTCAGACTCAAACTACTAAAGTTAAAGAAGTAGTTTTCAAGAGGAAAATCCTGTAAACTAAGCCTCAATCCCATCTACTGGTTGAAATGTATCCTCATTGCTCTAATGTATGTCTATAAATTGTAAGGGCTTAGAAATTCAGTTTGTCCAGTCAATATGTCTCAGGTCTCTATTCCTGTGAAACTGAGTTTACTGGGCCATGACTACACTATCTGCTATAACTTACTTTTCCTCTTTGCATCTCTTCCTATTTTTATTAAACCTGGCTTGCTACTTCTGGTATTTTAAACTGGGATTTAAAAGATCAGGTTAAAATATGTCCTTCCTTCCTTCCTTCCTTCCTTCCTTCGTTCCTTCCTTCCTTCCTTCCTTCCTTCGTTCCTTCCTTCCTTCCTTCCTTCCTTCGTTCCTTCCTTCCTTCCTTCCTTCCTTCGTTCCTTCCTTCCTTCCTTCCTTCCTTCGTTCCTTCCTTCCTTCCTTCCTTCCTTCGTTCCTTCCTTCCTTCCTTCCTTCCTTCGTTCCTTCCTTCCTTCCTTCCTTCCTTCGTTCCTTCCTTCCTTCCTTCCTTCCTTCGTTCCTTCCTTCCTTCCTTCCTTCCTTCGTTCCTTCCTTCCTTCCTTCCTTCCTTCGTTCCTTCCTTCCTTCCTTCCTTCCTTCGTTCCTTCCTTCCTTCCTTCCTTCCTTCCTTCCTTCCCTTCCTTCCCTTCCTTCCCTTCCTCCTTTCCTTGTTATCCTAGCCAAGTAATTTAAAGTTGCACTTTACTATCTTAGCATAGATGTTATGTTCAACTTTAAAAGAGTAACTCCCAGGCAGAAGGTGAACTTTGCAAGCAGGACCACCAGCTTGATGTTAGTTCAGTAGCAGCTTGGGCTCCTGGCCAGCGGTGGTTGCTAACAGAAGCAGGCTTGTTAGGGGAAGAATTTTGGAGCTGCTGCACTGGAATGATTGCACAGAGTGTCCAATCTAGTGAAATAAAACTGAAAGTAAGTTCTTGTTGCTTCTTTTCATTCTTTCTCCTCCTTCTCTATGCCATCCCATCACTGTTCACAGCCTTCTCCTGGACCTTTGTCTGTCTGCCTTTAGGTTGACTTGCATCATCCTGTACAGTAAGCTGGGTCCATTTACCTGACCTTGGAGGATGCTTACTGTTGGGTTAGAAACTTTTCTGTCCATGGCCAGTGACTTTGTAGTAGTGACTTCATCTCAGAAGAATTTAAGAGATAAGTAGTCAGGCCTTAAAGGAACTTTTTCCTGCACCAAGAGCTGCAGTGGAGTTACAATGTGACCACGCTTTGTGTGTCTTGCTTTCAGCTCTACCAGCTTTTGGAAAAACCTCTTTTTTTTTACTCAGACTCCGCTTGAAAGTTAAGATTTTCTTTAAACTCTTAAATAGATTAAAGAATGTAAGGAATAATGGTGAAAAAAATAGTGCAGAAAATTTTATTTCCTCCCCCCCCCCCCATATTTTTTCTTTGAAACACGAAAATTTTTCACTTGCTGGCCCTAGGGAGCTGCTTGTGGCTTGGCAAGTGGAGGGTGAAAGCTGCTTTTTGAAGTAACATTTGAAAAATGCCAAAGCAAAAAGGTGTGAGAAAATGGCAGACTGTTACCTGCTTGCTAAGCACTATCCAACATGGGCTAAAAAACCACAGGTTGGTTAGAACTGGGGTCCTGTGTGGATCCTTTCTTGCTCTTCCAGCTCCATCATTTTGTTTTCTCTACTTTCCCTTTAAGAGGTTTCTTTTGTAAGCAGCATCAGGGGTGGAAAACATGCACCTGCAAGGCCTGTTTGACCTCCTGTGCATAAGCCAATGGCAGTCTTGTGTTCCCTGGGAAAAGGCACCTGGTGTAGGGCAGGCAGGAACAGGAGCTGTGTGGGATGAGGCTGCCCAGGTCCTCAGCTGTGTCTCGGGGCTGCTCTTCCTGTGGGCAGAGGCTGCCTGCCCCCATATCTGCGGTCAAAGTTCTCGTAGGTGGAGTCTTGCAGCTGTGGCCTGGCAGTGGAAGAGGAGGATAAAGTGAAGACAGATTTCTGGCTGCTCTAGACTTCCCAAGTGGCTTCAGCTCACAGGTTTGGAGTGTCAGAGTAAGTGTCTGCAATGCTGTCTGATACAGCTGCAGCAGATGGAGGCCACTCAGATACATAAATACTGATGTTTTACAGCTTAAAGCACCCAGAATATTCTCCTACACTGTTAGCATTAACTACTACTACTGTCCTATTGCTCAGGAGATTGTGCCTTCTGAGAAGGATCTTCTCATGTAGAGCATCTTGGTTTTTAAGTTTAATTTATATATGATGGATTGCTGAGAGAGTTGGGGGTGTTCAGGCTGGAGAAGAGAAGGCTCCAGGGAGACCTCAGAGCACCTTCCAGTGCCTGAAAGGGCTCCAGGAAACCTGGGGAGGGACTTTTTAAAAGGGCTTGAAGTGAGAGGACAAGGGGGAATGGATTAAAACTGGAAGAGGGGAGATTTAGGTTGGACATTAGGAGGAAACTCTTCAGTGTGAGGGTGGTGAGAAACTGGAACAGGTTGCTCCAGGAATTTGTGGAAACCCTATCCCTGAAAATTTTCAAGGCAAAGTTGGATGGGGCTTGGAGCAACCTGGTCTGATGAGAGGTGTCCCTGCCCATGCAGGGGGGTTGGAACTGGATTATCTTCCAGGTCCCTTCAAACCCAAATCAGTCTGTGATTCTGTGGTTCTGTGTATCTGTATAAATACAAAGGTGCAATATGGTTTAGACAGTTAAATCAGCAAAACTATGGTTTTTTGTGAGTAATTAATGCAAATTTATCTGTGGGATTGAATTCCCCTTTGCTTCCTTGGCTGCCTCCTGATGCTGTACAGTTGACTTTACTGCCAAAATGGCTACCTTTCTTGGGTAGGGTGGTGGAAGGAGCCATCACAGAGGGATAACTCAGGTTGGAAGGGAGCAGTCCCAGGGAGATGTAATTATACAGATACAATTTCTTCGGTCTAAGGGTTATTTTGGTGTGTTTTTTTTTTTTTTTTTTAGTATTAGTTATTTGTTTGTTTGTTTGTGTGATTTGCCCCATCCCTTTCTATCTAGGCCACCACAGCTGTCAAGAGTATCCAAGAACTATGCTGTGCTGGGTAATGGGCAATGCCAGCATGGATCTGAGGTGGGCTGTTTGGCATCTCCACACCTTCTTCCACACTTGGCAGGGCTCAGCAATTTTGAAGTGGGCCCTTTTGCTGCCTCATTAGAGGCTGGGGTGCAGAGGGAGGGGAAGGTTCTGTTACACAGAGTTTGCCTCTCATTCATCAGCCTGCCACAGATGCCATCCCAGCCTGTTCCACTCATCTGTCCTTTGGGTGGGTGGTTCTTTTGCTAGTACAATGTGGGTTCCTACTGCACTCTAGGCCTATGGCCAACCTCAAATAATGCTAGCTCCTTGCTGCTGCAGCATCCATGTGCCATGGTCTTTCAAATCTGCTGCCCCAGTCCCTTGTTCTTACATCAGTGTGGTCTCTTCTTGGTTCTATCCAAGCCAGAGCCTCCTCCAGGAGTGCCCAAGCTTTGGTCCCTCACACCAGCTTGCCTATCAGCCCAGCCCTGTCCTTGCCCCAGGTGTCTGCTCCTGTGCAGGAAGGTTGGTGCCAAGACCAAGGACATGTTGCATTTCTCTCCATCCTGTTGCTGGATCTCCAGCCTATTGCTGGATACCATGAGTAGAAGGCAGGACGTCCTTACCGTGCCAGGCTGGATGGGGAAGAGGAGGGACCTGTGAAGTGGGAAGGAAGATGTGGGTTAGCAACATAGAGTGAGATGTGGAGCCAGGACTGACCTGGAGCTATTGGAAAGCTGCACTGGAGGGGTGTTGTGACACCCCAGTGAATGGAGAGAAGACTTTTTGTCAGGCCCATGGTCCTCTTCCTGAGAGTGGGAATTTGGCACAGGGATGTAAGAAGTAAAGTATTTCTGATTTGTCTTACAGTGGTGGCTTTCACAAAGGGTTGACTTCAGTCTGTCTCTACAGATGGGTCATGGTGATATGATATCTTGTTCAGCAGAGCCCAGAGTCCCTCCTGGTCACCTCCTGCCAGTGCCATTGCACTGGAGGGATGGTGGACCAGGGGCCAGTGGCCTCCAGGCTTCTTGGGAGGTCTCCTTCCTCAGTCAATAAGCTGATGCTCATCTCCTAGAAGCCAGGTCTGCTCTCATGGCCTTGGTCTGGCTGGGAGGTGAGATTTCACTGACTGTGGGGCAGTGAGGACCCAGGGGTTGAAGAGAGTAAAATGGGGATGCCCATCCTGGGAGATTTAACTATTGTGTGGAATGCAGCAAAGGCAAATCCTGACCATGGCCTACAGGGGAAGAGGTAGTAGCTAGTGTGTTTCAAGGAAAAAAATAATTAAAAATCTGGTTGTGCAGGCAGCAGACTTTCTGCTATTTGCCCATCTGTTAGTTTATTAACCTTTCTTCACTAGTGCAGGGAAACTCCTGCTCCCTCTGTATTTTCAAAGGTCTCTTTCTGAAGGAGATCTCATGTCTGTAGGCTGCAGCCAGCCAGGAGGTACTTCTTTACTTGTTCTTAGGTTTCCCATTAGCACTGCCCTTCTCCTAGGGTGGAAAAATCATAAAATCTTTAAAAAACCCTCCAAATAAATCAAACCTCTCCTGGTTGGCTGTATCTGACACATCTGTCACCATTCTTGGAATTATTGTCATCATCCCTGGAGGTATTTCAAAGATATGTAGATGCAGTGCTGAGGGTCATGGGTTAGTGGTGGCCTTGGAAGTGCTGGGTTAATGATTGGACTTGATGATCTGAAAGGGCCTTTTCCAATCAAAATGGTGCTATGATTTAATCTGTTACCAGTCTGGTGGAGGAACAATGCCAAGGGACTGAAGCCCAGCATGGCCAGCAACATGAGCACTTTAATTCCCAGCAGGGCAAAGATGAGGATCAGGAAGAAGGAGCTGCTAGGTGCTTTGAACTTGTAGAAGTACACAGCCCCCTCTGCTCTCCCGTGGCTGTTGACAGCAGTGCAGGTGTACTTTCCATCGTGGGCCAGGTACCGCAGCTCCTTGGTGACGCGGTGGTTGATGCTGGTGGTGGAGGTGAGGTTGTTGTAGAGAGGTCCTGTCCAGGTCAGGGTGGGTGTTGGCTCCCCCTCAGCTGTGCAGTGGGCCTGGAAGGTGCGGTCCCCATTAGAGCTGACAGTGATGTTGATGATCCTGGGGGCAGCTGCAGGAATAGGGACAGGGGAGGGAAAATGTGTCGGGCTTCAAAGGTAGATCGAACGTGCAACACCTGGAATGGGTTCTTGGGCATGGTGGGCCCTCTGTGCATTCCATCAGGGTAATGTTGGATCAAGCCTCCCCTTCCTTGTTTTTCTTGTCACTTGACTTCCCTAGGTTTCCCCACCCTGCTTGTGCTGTATAGAGGAGCAAAGGGCCTCACCCAGCAGAGCCTGGGTGGAAGGATGTGTCCTCTATTTGTGTTGTGTCCCTGCAATGCCTTGCACAGCCTTCTGAGCTTCAGTCAACCTGTCACCTCCATGCTGGCAGGAGGCACAGGCACCTGCTGTTGTTGCAGGGCTGTGGAGATGTTTTCACTTTCTGCATCTGGACCATGAATCACAGCCCAGTGCTGTCTGTGACACAAGCACTGGTGACAGTTTTGGACTGGCTGCATCTGGTCATGGTCCGGGACAAGGCAACCATGGTGCTCTCCTGCAAGCACCTCTTGCCTGTTCCCTTGGTCTCTGACCTCCAGAGCACACAGAAAAGGATCCATATGTGCAAGCCCTTCAGTTGGTGTCTAAAACTTGCCAGATTTGACAAATTATTGGCAGAGAACATTCCCACTCTCTGCTACAACCTATTTTTGATGTTTTCTCCCAGACCTGTAGTGACTACCATACAGCTGGTGTAGATTCCTGGTTGCTTTAGGGCAGCACACCAATGTCGAGGTGTGGTCGCTAGTTTGGTATCCTGTATTTGTAGTATATGGGATTGTGTGATTGAATGAACAATGGTAAAGATGGTTTGGGGGATGCAAAATGTTGAGAGCTGCTGCTGGATGTACCAGCTTCGGTCTAATCTGCTAAGGAAGCATGGGTGATATGACTAAGCTTGTGTTACTGTTGCTCTTCTACTCTTGGACCTGTTGGCTGATTTAATGCATTTAGTTCCTAAAGGTGTTGTGAAAACTTGAAGGGAATTAAAAGAGTGTCCTCACAGGGGAAAAGCAAAAGTTCAGGACTTGTTTTTTTTCTCAGACTGGACAGCAAATGCACAGTTTGCAACCACGTACAGCATGTCTTCTCTCTTGTCTATGTAACACAGGAGGGGTTTTAGGCTGGAGGGCCGATCTGTGAGCTAGGTAGCTGTGCTACTTCTCATTTGTCTGTATGTTTTGGTGTTTAACCTTTTAATCATTATTTAACCTCTCCCATTCATACTGTCAGGGCCCACTCCCGAAGCAGGTGCAGGCTGGGTACTGTATCTGCTTATGTTCTCATTCCTCTAGTGTTAAAAATCCAGGCAGCCCTGACAGACAGATTTTGCTGCCATCCTGCCCTGGTCATGCTGTGTTTGGATGCTTAGGAGCTGCTCCAAGTGAAGGAGACCCTTGACTGTGCCCTGTGTGTCTATGCTTAGGAGCTATTCCAAGTGACTTGACTACCCAGAAGTTCCCAAGAAGTAACCAAGCTCATCCTCAAGTTCTGTCCAGACACCTGCAATGCACAGCAGCCCTAAGGCACTTTCACTGATGAAGCAAAACCATCCAGTGTGTGGCACCTCTGTACTTGTGGGCGAGGTCTCAGTCTGCTCCAGAGTCCACCTGGGTCTCCTTGAGATCCCTGGATCTGGAAGCACTCCTGGAGAGATGAGATGAGTGCTTTCCTGAACCCAGTCTCCTTACACCTGGACACTGGCTCTGAACAAGCCCATTGCAGCCTGGGGATGTGTTTGGCACAGGCACTGCAGGAGACCCAGCATTGTGTGCTGTGTCCTGAAGATCCATCCCTGCTTGCTCTGCTGTGTCTCTGCTGTGCTGGGCAGCTACAAAACAAGGTGTTCTTCAGCCAGGTTACTCATCTGACAGAGCAAATAAGTCCTGCTGCAGTGGTGGGCTCTTGTGTTGGATTTCTGTACTGTGAGCAGCAGGTGAGCTTCTGTGTGAGCCTGTGGGCAGCAGGGGACTTTGAGACTCAGATTTTGGCAGCTGTGTGGGTCACCTCTGTGCCTTTCTCCCATTCCCTGTGACTATTGAGGGTACAGGCTCCATGGAAATGAGTGATGCCCTGCTTATGCCCATCCAGCAGCTATTGCAACAGGCCCCAAGCTCCTCTGGGGACTTGTGTCACTTCCATGCAGACATCCACCCCAGGGATGGATTTCTCATCCCATGAGACTGCTGTCTAGTGTTGCCTCAAAGATGCTTCAACTTATGCCTATTACCCCTGTGGTTTCTAGGTGATCTCTGGGCAAAGACTGGAGGAGCCTGGGACTGTGTGCTCTCCAGAGGGACAGGATCAAATGTGTTTAGCTAAGCATGACTGTGTGCTCAAACCAGGACACCGTGGCAGCTGGTCCTGCTGCTTTCAGCCAGATAAAGAGCTCAGGGTTTTGGGGTTTTTTTTGTTTGTTTTGGTTTGGGTTTTTTTTGGCTTAGGATTCAAAACAGTGATTCAGCCCAAGCTGGAGATAGCAAGAACCTTCATGGGGACATGAAGCTCCTCCTTGTGTCCTCTCATCTGGGTGCAGCTCAACGGCTGGGTGAGCCCAAAGAGCTTTAGGGGGTAACTTGGGCCAGCTCCCTAAGTTTGACATTTGTTGATCAGAGCTGTTTGTACTAAACATTTTCTGCTCCAGAGGAGCTTATGCCTACGCCAAATGGGAGCCAGGTATCTTGCCTTCCCAAGCCCCTGTTTACAGCCAGGCCTGCTTGTGCCTCCATTCACTAACGTGCACTCAGCAGCCAGGCTCTCCAATTTAAATCCTGGTAACAAAGACATTTTCAATCCCTCCCCATGGACTGGTGACCCCAGCTTGCTGCTCTGCTTCCTGCACTGATCATGTGCTGCAGGGACAAAGAATAGGAGCTTTGGTGCATAAAATCACAGAATGGTTTGGGTTGGAGAGGACCTTTAAAGGTCATCTGGTCCAACCCCCTTGCAATGAGAAGGGTTACTGAACACTTGGCTGGCTCTTCTCCCCCAGCCAGAGCCTGGCTATTTCCTTACCAGCTGTCTTCCTCTTCCCTTCCCTGTGTTGTGCACATCACCTCATATCGGAAGACTGCAGAAGGCAGTGAGCATTCCCCACCCAAATGCTATAAATTATCCCCCAGAGCTGGAAAAGCCAACCATGTGGAAGACCATCTCAGATAGTTTTCTGTCTCCACCTCATCAGTTTCCATGTCCTATGGCTCTCACTTCCCTATAGGGCGGCTTTGCCTCCTTTGGCTCTCTTACCAGTCAAATGCAG